CTCCTGCCCCGGGGCATGGCAGCCTGGATCCTCGCTGGTGCCCCACACTGTGGTCAGCTCTGCAAAGAGAGAAGGCAGTGGAGGGGTCCCCAAAAGGCAAACCACCCCAGCTCCAGCTGGGATGTGGGGAGGCTTCCCACTTCCCAGAGAGCCCCTGCAGCATCCCAGCTGCTCTGGGACAGTGGCATTTGGCACATCTAGAGGATGCCAGTACCCCGCTATGGGGACAAGCATCCCCCAGAAGATCCCCTCCCTCCCCTGTGATAGCAGGACCCCGAGGCTGGTCCCGCAACACCCATGAACCCCCTTCCCAGCCCCTCCCATGACCTGCACGCATGGAGACACAGTGTCCCTGGCGAGAGCGGCGTCGTGGCACCAGAGCAGCAGGCAGGAGGCTGCTGGCAGGGGCTGGGACCTCGGGGGACACTCACCTGCCGAGATAAGGGCAGTGAGAATGTGCCTGGCTGCAGCCCCATGGTACTCCAACATCTCCCCATGAGCTCTGCTCCACCTGCTCCCCATCCCTGCGGTCCTGCACAGCCCAGGATGCTGTCACCGTGGGTACTGGGGGATACAGGCTGCAGAGCACTGGTCTAGCACAGCCAGGGATGCTGTCCCCACTGGGACCAGGGAGATATAGGCTGCAGGGCACAGGCACCCAGAGGGGACAGCTGAGCACCCACAGGCCTGCAGGACTGAAGGTTTCAGTGTTGCCTTCTGGCACCAGGGCAGCCCACGCACCCTATCCTTGCCCACAGCACACCAGGGTCCGTACTCACAGTGTTGTGGGGTGCCACAGAAGACCGGTGCCGCTTTGCCACCACCACAGGGCCGATCTGAGGAGCCAGGGACACACGCTGGGGACAGAGCAGATGGGGTGAAGGGTAGGCAGGGACTCCCTCCTGACTCTGCCCCCCCCCTCCCCCCAGGCACCCAAGCCAAATGGTCTCAGCCCCACTAAAAGTCTTGGTCTCACCCTGTCCCTGGGCATTGCCTGCCCCACACCAGGCACCACGGGGACCCAGGCCCCCCACCTGGGTCGGAGCCATCCCTGGGGCTGAAGGAGCCAGGCCAGGCCTGCAATGCAGAGGTGTGAGTGGAGCGGGGTGTGGGATACCCGCACGTGGGGATGAATTATTGAGGAGCCCGGCTGGGCCACGGTGGAGGGTAATGGAGTTTCTATTGATTGCAGGAGGCTTGCTGAGACACAACACTCCCAACCCAGCATCAATAAATTAAACCCCCTGCCAGGCTCCTTGCAGCCTACTGTGCTGGGATGGAGAAGCACCTGGGTGCCCTAACAGTGAGTGGCCCAGGGCCAGCACCCCAGCCTGGGCTGCTGACCTGTGTGGGCAGAGGGTCCCAGGGGCACGGCACAGGAGAGCAGATCAGACCCAGGAGATCCTCACCCATGCAGGGTGCAGACTGCACCTCAGCACCAGCCCCCACAGACTGCTGCATCCCTGCATTTCCCTCGTACCTGTCTCTCCTGTGCTTTGCGCTTCAGGGTCCGCACGACCGTCATATCAACATCCTGAAAGGCAACGGGGAGGCTGGCAGGGCTGCATGGCACCAGGGGCACCCCCAGCATTCATGCTCCGATTTTTTGGGCAGCCTGCCCCTAACCACTGCTAATGCAAAGTGGCTGCCCCACTGTGGGAGTGGGGCAAAACCACCCCCTCACTGCTGGGGAGGTGAATCCTGGGACTCACAGCAGGTCACTCCTTACCACATCATCCTCAGTGCGGTCATAGCTGATGTCCGAATGGGACAGGAGGGACTGGCATGACTCGTCCACTGCAGATGACCTACAGAGTGAGTTGGGGGTCAGCCCAGCCTGGGCACACCACCCCCCCCGCAGCCAGCACCTACTTGTACAGCCATTCCTGGGAGCCCAGAGCTGACACCTCTGCAGAGCCTGAGTGTCCCTGTGCCCACCCAGCCCTTCAAGCCCAGCAGAGGTGAGGGGGAGAGGGGCACAGCCAAGCCCAGGGCTGCCTGGGGGGCTGGGGCAAGGGGCCCCAGCTCTGCTCACCTCTTGCCTGGCACCAGGGCCACCCCGAGGCGCCGGCCAGCCAGGGCACTGAGGACAGAGCACTGCTCCCCACTCAGCACCCCGCTGCCCCATGGCTCCCGCATCAGGGACTCAAACACCAGCTGAAGTTTGCGCTCCTGCAAGTGAAACAGGGCGACAGTGAGCAGGCTGGGGTCCCCACAGCCAGCACTACAGGGTA